ACGGACATGGCGGTTTGGGGACCTTACCATCACCGCCTGGCCGAGAAGATTAGACTCAAGGGCATAAGACTCAATTCCCAGGGAGAGATTGTGCCTGTCGAGATCAACGGCCCGGCGGACTTCGAGTCCTGGCGCGAGAGCTACAGTGTCTTTAGAACTGGTTGCATTATGTTCGGTCAGATATCGCCTGCCAGACTGGATGGCTACGAACATCACATTCGGTCGTACCATGAGCGTTATGGAAGGGGATGCTGGGCTCTCTTGTATCAGGCCGATGTACGAGCCAGGCTGGAGCTTGCAGAGAGGCTCAGGCGCCAGGGCAAGGAGGATCGTGATAATGCCATTTCCGCTGGAGCGACGCACGACTTCGACCCCAAGAAGCCTTGGGAGTGGGTGTGGAATATGATTGTTAAGGACCACGCCTTTTGGCACCGCGAGCTGGAGGAGCCGGCTTTGCTCATTCTGGCCAAGACGCAGAAGGCTTCCCAGTTGTTGGGTACCGACGCTCCGGTGGATGCGCCTGGGAACTTGGGCGTGGACCGGCCGCCATCTGCACCCTCTGCACCAGTCAAGCGCAAGCGCGATGACAATGTCAGGCAACACATGACGGGCGAGGAAGGCCTTCTCACCCACAATAGGCGAGGCACCGAACTGTGTCGAGGCTTTCAGAAGGGAGAGTGCTTGGAGCGTGATCGCAACGGGTTCTGCATCAAGACTGGGAGGACTCGCCATCAGTGTGCAAAGTGTTTGTCGGAAGATCATGGAACTCATGCATGCCCTCAATCCGGCCCCAAGCAGCCCCGCACCTTTAAGCCAAAGGGTGGGGGGGGCGAAAAGGGGGGGGAAGAGGCAAGGCCTGAGCTGGGGGAGTTCACTCCCCCCTTAGGGGCGCGAAAGAGGGCGCCCGTGTGAAGTGCCCCAGCGAGGCACGGATTGAGGCCCCCTCAGCCCCCCTTCCAGAACCCCATTTTCGAGCCCAAATGGGGGTCTGGGCGCGGTGGACAGCGGCAGGACCTAGCTGGCGGGGGAAGCGTTGGATTGAGCGATGCCCAGCGAACAACTGACAGGCCCCGATTCCTGCACATGTTCAGTGGCCCAGCCGGTCGCGAAGACGGCCTGGCTGCATCTCTCAAATCCTTGGCATTGGGCTGCGATTGCGAGGAGTGGGACATCGTGAACGGCGATGCGTATGACCTCGCCGATGACGCCACCTATCAGATGCTTAGACAGCGGATTTCTCAAGGTGAGTTTGATAGGGGCTTAATGGGCCCGCCGTGCCACACCTTTTCGAACGCTCGCAGGGAGAGCGATGGTGGACCCAGGCCCCTTCGTCCACCTGGTGATCGCGACATCTACGGCAGGCCTGGACTTAGCCCGGAGGAAAAGGAGGACGTCCGATTAGGAACGCTGCTGGCCCTGCGGGCAGCCGACGCCTTCAAGCTCTTTTACGAGTTGGGCAAGCCTGTCATCCTAGAGCAGCCGGCCCGTTCCGAACACAATGGCGCTATCAGCATGCTGAACCTTCCGGAGATCAAGCGCATTCTGGAGTTTGAAGGCATTCACCACACCAAGGTGGCACAGTGCAACTAGAAGCCCACTTCGCTCATACATTTCAAGGCGAACTTTGAGGATGCCCTCTCGACGTGCCGGCACTCCAAACGATGGTGGAGGCTCCCTAGTACGGGCGCCTGGAAGCAGGCGGCGCATCCTCCTTTGAAAGGAAAGGAGTCCAATGTTCCGGCGGACCAGTGGCATTCTTCTATGATCCTTTCTACCGAGGCCAGGCGAGCGAAGTTCAGGTTTGCGCCATACCTCACCAAGGCAGCGGCTGCTTACCCTGGTGGCCTCAACGAGTACTTCGCTCGCAAGCTTAAGGGGGCGCATGACAATCATTCCGTGAAGGTGACCCCCTGGAGGCTGGCCGGTAGGTGGAAGAACGTGCTGGTTAGAGATGAACCCAACATGCAGCCGTGCAACGATGTCGCCAACACTGGAGTTGTCCCTCACCTCTCCTGGTCACCGGCGCTGCGGGGAAAACAGGGCCTTGCCGATGAGGACGTGGACATGCACTTAGGGGGCATGAGACACCCCAGAAGGGCCATGGAGACCATTACTGGTTACGACTGTATCGGCAAGGCCATCTTTCACACGTTGGACCGGTACCTTGATTCACAACCTGACCTGCAGCGCCAATGTCTCGAGGCCATCGGTTCCAACGAAGCCAAAGCCCCGAGCCAGGAGCACATTGGCGAGATCAGACGTGAACTTGAAGCTTTACTAGGCCTGGAAGGACACTCGCATGAACAAGGCCTGGATTATGGCATGCTGGGAGCGTGGGGCCGCATTGCTGGCGACCCTGATACGGATTTCATTGAGGGCTGGCTCAGAGAAGGATCCCCGGCAGGCATCAATGGCCCCATCGTTGATCCCGGCATCTTTCCACAGGACGACGCGCAGCAGGACGATGATGAAGGCCAGGATTATTTCCATGACCCCGCGGGCCACGAGAACTACAAGTCGGTCGAGGACGACCCCATGGCGCTGCCGGAGATCCAGAGGCTCATTGACACGGGCTATGTCAAGGTCTTCGACGATCTGGAGTCATGTCAAGAATGGCTGGGCGGACCCCCGCTCACCTCAAAACTCGCCATGGTCACCAAGGTGAGGTCTGATGGGACTACCAAGCGGAGACTCATTCTGGACTGCCGGGAGTCCGGCGCCAATTCGCTAGCGCACAAAGGGGGCCGGGTTCAGTTGCCACGCCCCACTGACTTGGTGGACGACTCGCTTTACCTCCTCAGCCGCTCGAAGGGCGAAGAAGTGGAAGCTCTCGTTCTCGACTTCAAGGACTGGTTCTACTCAGTTCCACTTCAACATGCGGAGCGTCGCTACTTCACCACTGCCTACCGCGAAAGACCCGGGGGTCCTCTTCGATACATCGTCTTCCTGACCCAAACTCAGGGGAGCAAGAATGCTCCTATCGTCTGCGGACGCGTGGCGGCCTTCATTGGGCGACTCAGCCAATCGCTCTTTCTTTCGGATAGAGCAAGGCTGCAAGTATACGTGGATGATCCTTGCTTCCTGATGGCGGGCTCACAAGGTCAACGAGATCGCCTGGCATCAATATTGATTTGCCTGTGGATGTCACTCCGGATTCCACTGGCCTTTGGTAAGGCTTCCTGCGGCGCCGATTTCACCTGGATTGGCGTGCATTGCCACATCAAGGCTGGCAAGGACGGCAAAGTGACGGTAACGGGCAAAACCGAGCTGATGCAAGAGATCCTGGAGGCCACCGAGGCGCACCAGAAAGTGAACGTCATCAGCCTAAGGGACCTCCAGAAATACGTCGGGAAGGCCAACTACGTGGCGGGCGTTGTGGACACATGGCGCCCCTTCCTGACGGACCTCTGGGCCGTAATAAACAGCTGCGGTCCCGAATCTCGCCCCAAGAATTGCGTCTGGACAAAACAATGGGCGCACGTCACAGCTTTGTTCCTCGCCTTCTACAGGGGCGAGGTTGGAACACTGACTCGCGAGTACAGGGTCAGTCACTATTTCGGGAGGGTCATCAAGATGCGGATTGTTACCGATGCCTGCCCTTGGGGCATCGGAGGCTTCCTGGCGATGCACAACACGCCGATAGCCTACTTCTCGGACGCCCTTTGCGATTTTGACCTGGAGCTGGCCGAAGCTGAGCGCGGATCCCCTGACGGTCAACAGGTTTGGGAATCCCTGGCCTTGTTGGTCGCGCTACGATTATGGACCTCGCACTGGGTCAAACGAGGGTCGATCTACACCTTGGATCCGACAGCGTATCGGCTCTTAGCCTGTTGATCAAGCTTCACGCCAAGCCCAAGGCCAGAGGCCTGGGGCGCATAGCACGAGAGTTGGCTCTGGACTTCAGTCGCTGCAGCTACCGTCCAAGGTGGCACGAGCACATCCCAGGTGTATCAAACACTGTCTCTGATGTTCTCAGCAGGCGCTTTCAGCCTGGAAAGACATTTAAGTTGCCGGCGGTGCTCCAGCAGGCAACGGAGGTGAAAGTGCCTCTCAGAGACCATCATTTTCTTCTATGCGAGTCGGCCGCAAGCAAAGCGGACAAGAAGGGGGCCTCATTCGCTCCCTCCGGCTCGGATTGCATGACAGCTAACGACACGTTGGTGCAACCCTGCCCAAAACCTCTCGCGGCCTTGGGGCCGGCTTTATCGGGGTGTAGGCCTCAACATTCATTTCTCCGCTGAGTGAGCATGTGAGCTTGAAGTTGACTGGCTGTGTGTGATTTGACATGTCTTTCTGCACATGTGAAGCTGACTGCTGCATGCGTGTGTCCACGACCTGTCTCTGCACCATGTTAGATTGATTGCACTTGCATGTGTGTACGAGTGCGAGCCGCTTCAATGCAACTGTTGCCTCAGGCTGGCTCGATGAAGAAGAGAAAAGGGATCCCTTTCCTGCCCAGGGTTGACTGGGCCAAGATCAATGAGCGCGCTGCTCAAATGGAGCCTGAGCCACCAGAACTGTCTGCAGCTGTTTCTTCGTCTGAAACTACGATCATAGCCCTGGGGTCTGAACAGCCTACTGCCAAATGGGCCAAACGCACAGATGCGCCAACCACACGCTTCAGCAGAGGAGCGCAAAAGTGGTCCGGGGGCAAAATCTCGGAAGAGGACAAACGGGCCGCCATGGACAGCCTGTTATCCGATATGGAGGCGGCCTCTGCGAAAGGCCCCAACGCAGCTCTACTTAGGACTTGGCAATCTGTGCACGAAAGCTGGTTTGGGGCCGATGCTGAACCGGCTTTTCCCCTCACTGGTGAGAAGCTGAGGGCGGTAGGAGCCGTCTTCAAAGCACGTGGTTACCGCAGCTTTCCTAACTACTTGACTAAAGCGAAGCAGCATCACATTAGACTCACTGGGAGCTGGCCTATCCTACTGGATCAAGAGGCCAGGGAAGTCAAGCGCAGCGTTCGAAGAGGACTGGGGCCCAGTCGACAGTCAGAACCTCTCCAAGTGGAGAAAGTTGCCGAGTTGCCCAGTGAGCAACTCAGCGCGCCAGAACCAATAGTCCGTGGCGGCCCTGTAGGGGCCTGGAACCTTGCGGTCCTCGGAGTATTCTTCCTTCTGCGCGAGATCGAGGCTAGCCTTTCGTTGGCATCCAGTGTGACTTTGAATTCAGTCACGAAGGTAGTGTCCTGGCTGCTACCCTCGTCCAAGACTGACAGTGCCGCTCTCACCACAACTCGAGAGTGGCGCTGTCTCTGTGACGCCAACACCATATGGCTCTGCCCATTTCATGCTGCTATACGACAGATGGAATTTCTGAAAGACACGTTCGGCGACGAGAGCGGGACGCTGCCCCCCGGGTTACCCTTCTTTCCATCGTTGAAGGGCGAAGCGGTGACCAAGGAATCAGTCGCGGAGACCATCAAAGAGTGGCACCGGCGAGCCGGCCTTTCCGTTGTGGACGCCGACGGCAGTGAGCTCCTCGGGGGGCACTCTCTGCGAACGGGCGGGGCGTACTGCTTGCAAGCGAGGGTGTACACATTTATCAGATTGAGCTCATGGCGCGTTGGAAGAGCGCCATGCTGATACACTACGCCAAGACTGCACCCTTAAAGAAGATGAGTCGCGATTATGTTCGCAACAAAGTGCAGCAGGAGCTCCACGATAGATTGGATGAACTGGCTCGAGCTCTTGAGGACGTCAAGAACCAGGGCGCTTCGAGGCGGCCCACCCAGCTCGAGCGCGCAGAGTTCATCGCTGAAAGGATAAAGGGTCCTCTTCGCACCATGGCTCAGGAGGAGGTTTCCTTACTCAAGAAGCAGCTGCTCGCCGCACCCAGCTCCTACATTCAGAATCCGGACAGACGGAAGACTTGGCACAAAGCCTCGGTGGATGGCTACTTGCATCCCCCGAACACTTGGAGGACACTATGCGGTTGGCCTCATGGATTGAATGCTTTTGTTCGATCTGACGACCTCCCCAAAGGGGCTCGCAAGTGTGACAGGTGCTTTCCTGACAGTTCCAGCGACTCGAGTTCCGACGACAGCACCCCTTAGTAAAAAGTACTCAGCAGAGGGATGTTTCGGGGTGCTGCACTGCAGGACCGATGGGATGTCAAGTCATCTCATCGCCACGGCGGCACGACGCTGTGGATGCAGGACCTGTGACTATCGGCATCATTGCAAAAGGAGGGTGGGCAGGGTTCGATCTGAAGCACGGTGCA